TCCACATATTTTCTTCTCTTCTTGTGTTAGCCAATAAACCAGATATAGCAACTATCGCCAAAGGTAACCCGTGGCATTTTTTCAATATCTGCTCTGAAACTTCTTGAAGGTATGAAGGACAATTTTCATCAGGCTTGAATAATCTTCTATGAAATAATTGCCTTGAGTGCACCATATCAAGAGGCCTTATATAATAAATATGACCACTAAATGTTGAACAGCATGAATGAGCGACATTGTTCAAACGAGTAGTGGTGATTATTCTATTACTATAACTTGTAGTGGGGAATGCACACTTAATAATATCCCATGTGTCGAAGTCCCATATATCATCAACAACAACAAAGTACCTGTACATGGACAAATAAATGTTAGAATATCTTTCAAATAAAGAATGTACACATAGATAGACAGAGAATAAATGAAACACGTTAACATTGCCAACATGAAGAGGATAAATACAAAAGTATTAATAGGGCATATGTTAACTTAATTCATGTGTCCACATCCATGTTAGTTTGGCATATTACCGAGAGAAAGGGGATAAGAGATTGTTTAAACAACTGGCATGAAAGCAATTTTTTAAACAAGAGGCATGCCCACACAAAAGATCAAAACTGGACAGTTAAGTTGAAAGACAAGAGAAGAGATGGATCAAAAGATGAATAATCATATATACTTAATTTGTGTGGAAGGGCACTGATCAAGTGGTCATAAGCAACAAGCAAGAATCTTGGTGTGGACCAGAAGATCCAGTGATACAAAATGAAAACAGTGTAAACTACATACATAATATATAGAAAAAAAATATGTTTTAACTAGTACTGGCTTTGTGGGCCAATTGTGACTGTTGCCTTTTTATTTTCTTGTGTTACTGACTTTGAGAACCTTCTCCATCTTCATCAATGAAAAGGAGCAGCTGGCTGTCTTTTCGAAAAAAAAAACAATTTAGGCTCAGTTAAGCTAGTAAACTATATTTTTAACGATTTTGGAGTTAAATCACCGATGATGTATGGCCATGCAGGGCACCAATACTGGCTAAGGCCTAGTGGATCTCATCCGAGCTGGTCTCAATAGAGCATTGCACCTTTGGGTTGGTGGTACGAGAGAGGAAAGGAAGAGTGAATGGAGGCACAATAGAGCTGGTCTGAAAAGGAAACAGACCCGGAGAAAGGAGAGGTGAAGGTGCAAAAAGAAGGTGATGTGTATGGCAGCCTTTGTGTGAAAACAAGGGTGACGTGGATGCTACACTTGCAAAACGAGCATCTATATATCATCAAAGTCACTGTCCAAACCATTCATGATGTAAAGTGCTACAAACATTATAGGTCACACATAGTCAAGCCATATATAAGTCAACAAAGGGATTAGCTATGTCTTGAATATCATAGTATATCAAACGAAAATGCCCTATTCAAGAATTCGTCCGATTAACCAGTTAACTTTCCGATTAACCCCTACTCGTAGGGTCACCGAGTAGCCGATAAACAAATAAATCGTCCGATTAATTGATTAAATGGCCGATTAACTTGCCGATTAGCCTATTAATCCCCTACTCGCAAGCCAACCGAGCAGTTACCAGTTAACGATTTTCTCAACAATGCGAAAATGACATTATTAATCATGACCAAAGGCCCCTAGGACAGGTTGTTCTCTGTACACTCTCCGTTCGATTTCTTTTGTTTAGAAAATCGATGTGTTCTTTACTACAAACATTTGACCACTACTTTCTCTTTTTACATATGGGGAAAATATGAATATAGATGTTTTCCTGAAACTTTTCAACAAATTCCACTAGTAAAAATGATGAGATTTATACATTCAAAGACAGACGTGAAAGTGAAAAAAAATGATACAGATAGCATGTACCTTTTGTCAGCTAGAAAATTGCTGATATTGATGATAACTTGTTGTACATTTGCTGCTTCCGTTTTAGAATATTCTTGATGGCTAACTTGACTATGAATAGTTCTCATGATATGTATCATGTCTGGATTTCGCGACACGGATAGGAAGGCCGAACAGTCGAATTTCCCTTTGAGGTCTTGGTACACTTGGTATGCAAGAGTTGTCTTGCCTGTTCCTCCGGATCCAACAATGGAGACTACCTTCAATGGCTCTTCTGCAGAAGTGCGTCCATCCTCTTGAGTCAACAGTTCGATTATCTCAGCCTTAGGTTCATCGATTCCCACCAATTTTGAGGCATGCTCAAAGATAGCAAGAGCTCGAGGGTCAACGGTTGCATTCTTGGAGTTGGATACAGCCACACCAGTCCTGTATCTTGCATTCCTGTCACCCACCTCAATGATTTGTTTCTTCAGATCTTGGATATCTCTGCCACTCCGACGGCGGAAGTTCAACTTCCCCAATTTCCCCAATGAGTTTTTGATCTTCTCAATGAAGCCATCTGGCTTTTCGTCTTCGTCATCAACACTTTGCATGAAGTCATCGATGGCGTCCTCCATGTCATAAGAAAGCTCCCGCACCTCATTCATCCATACTTTATCCTGCGCATCAGGATCCTCCACCTCGGACATCTTGAGGAGAAAAGCCTCCATGGCAGCAAGCTCATGAGTGAGAGACTTGATCTCCTTGCGCACACCCTTGAACCGCCTGTACTCTTCACCGAGCAGAGTTCCCAGCTTCCCCAGGACAGGCTTCAGGGCCCCTGTCGCCACACCCACAAGAGCTGCCTCCATGACCATTTGCAAGCTCTGTCAATTCTGCGCGGAGGTCAGGCCGCTGAATGCACTGACAGTACACCCTGGAAAAAGATAGATTAATCTATGTAAGCCAATAAGCCCAAGCACTAATAATGCACTGAAAAAGCTATAAATCTGCCCTGGAGGCCACCGAATAAACTAACAGTAAACATATGCCTAGATTTCCGTCGTGGCGTCGTCAACCTAACAGGCCAAGACCCCAGAAAGAGAAATAACCCAAGTAATCCTAGAAAGCTCAGAGTACGCTAGTTGCAGCTTAGAGTTAGCTCGATCTGCTCTCAGTATGGACTATGGAATCGAGCGCGCTGACCGTGAACAGTGGAATTCACTCCACTCCCCGCGTCGTCGATCTGAACCCTTAAATAGAACAGATTCACGGAGGTAGCCTGACAATCTCTGCGCGGAACGAGCTACTGATCGATCCCGTGCCAGCGCAGACCAATGCACCGGCGGCGGCCGCGGCACAGGAGAGGAGGAGATGGAAGCACCGCAGCGGGGGAGGGGACGGGGCCGTACCTAGCGGGATCGGTCGGCGTGGAGGATGGCCGGCCACGGAGTAGCACCAGCACCTCGCGACGTAGCTCGGACGCCGGCGACACGTGCACCGCGAGTGAGAAGGGGGTCCGTGGATCTGGCCGTCGTCGCTTGGCCTTATCCTATATCTGTCTCTCTGTTCTGTGGGCCCGGCTCCACGTGGCCTAGGATGATGTGCGTCAAAATTCAGATTATTTAAAAAAATGATCATTTTAATTTACTATTCACCCACCCAGGAGCAGGTGAGCTCGGCAGCCAAAACGCCCTCCTCAGAAAACTGAATAATGACCTTATATTTCGAACTGAATGTCTCCGTCTTTGTTGTCCAGATCCTTCAAGCAAGACAGATGTTGAATACATTTTTCAAAGTTTAATTTTTTATCTCTTACTTTGTCGATGCAAGTTCGATACGACCTTCTGTGACTGCTCAATGAAAAACGTCCAATCAACGAGCAGTAAAATCTCAAAGTTGTGCAGCAAAAAACTGCTGCTTAAGCTAGTAAAATGCCATGCATTACCCAACCAATGCACAAGTAGTACAACTAATGTATCTTTTGCATCATAAAAGGAAGGAGGATCCTGGATTCCTGGTTCGTTTCTTGCCTTGTTTCCCACCACCAGCAGACAGTGCTCGTAGTTAAGCTGAATCAGATGGTGAAAGATATTTGTTAGAATGCCTTGTCTCATTGAGAGATACTCTGTTCTGGAGATATTTGTGAGAAATCCGGTCTCAAGATCACCAACAACGTCGATTTGTGCAAACGGTTGACAGATGAACAGTAAACTAAAATTTTAATTGCTAGGTGCATATTAAGCTGTAAAGAAGCATAAAATGGAATAACATCATACTCCCTCCGTTCGGAATTACTTGTCGCAGAAGTGGATGTATTTAGACATATTTTAGTTGTACATACATCCATTTCCGAGACAAGTAATTCCAAACGGAGGGAGTACGAATTATCAAGAGAACTAACTAGAAGAGCTCATAAAGTGTTGCTTGATGCATGCCTGGCTCGGCAAAGAACATGCCCAAGCAAAGAATGGCGGCCTACAAACAGACAAAAGAGCAAAGGAAAAAACCCCATTATCCTAAGTTGTGTGGCACGAGAAGTAATTACCCAGACGAATGATCACCCAATTATAATAAACCATCAAGAAGGATGACTGATTACTGCACAAAAGGCAACTAATCATACAAAAAATACCCTTAAGGCAATGACGCAAACCTAACTCACATGCCGTGTCTCTCATACATCAGTTATCATCTAGGGACAACTTATATTTTGTAAAAAGAGATATCCATAATTGACTAATTTTTCACTGCATAAATGTTTTGGAAAGAAAGGAGACAGCCAAGGAGTGAAATCTCAAAACCATGGGAATAAAATCTCCCAGCATAAACAGTTGCTTGTGCTAGGACTTATTTTTTTGTTAGGACACCTTCCATCAGTTGAATCATGTAAGATGTTCACATTTTTCTCAGGGAATCGCAGCTATAGGAAAAAAATTCGAGCATGCATTCAACAATTCTGTATCAATGGAGTCCAAACCAATTAGTGGTCAAATTTAAAATATGGAAAGCATGGATGTCATACATTATCCAAAGTAGGGGAGAGAATACAATGTTTAAAAGTTATAACAGCAAAGTATCAAACTTAAAACTCATAAACATAAGAATCGTTCAGACGAACGAGGAGGAGACAGGCAAGTCTCTCCAACATAGTCTTGGTCCTGGTTCTTGTCTTATTGAATTCTCTCAAAGAGTACACTAGGGTGGTTGGAATGTGTGTTGGCTGCTCTCTCCAAGGCAGTCTTTATGGCTCCAATAACGCCCTCAAGCCTGCCATATGCTACAAATTTTACAGTGATGAGGCAGAGGAGGTTCTCGATTCCAAAGTCCAAATAGTTAGCTTCAAGTATGTGCAAACAACTAAGATCGAGTTTTTCTAGCTTGGGCATGGATCCTGCTGCAAACATCAGATCTAGCTTATGAGAATTTGTAACATACATAAAAATCCTCAAGAATTTGAACCCATCTACACCACTGATTCTGAGCTTTTCATTTGAATTCGTTACGTCAATCAGATGCAGAATGAGCAGAGTGGGTAAGGCACCAAGGATGCAGATATCATCCTGCTTGACTACATCCACTTCAAGACGTAGCAGTTGGAGGTTTCTGAGGGAACTCACCCATTTCGGAACCTCAGGGACGACTGAAAACCATGTCATAAGTTTCTCGAGCATAGGCAGATACAAAGGTTCGTGTAAGAGGCTACTCCCTTTATAAATAGTTAGGGAGCGGAGATTCTGGGTGCCTAGCTTACACAGTGAAGAGGCGATAGCCTTGTTGCAGTCCTCCCAAACCACAATAAGGTCAAGCTGCAGTCTCCTCAAATTCTTTAGCTGGCCAAGTCCGCACAGGAAGTCAAATGGTTGAATGGAGGCCCTCACATCTTCTAGCGTCTCTAGTGCTTGCATCTTTGCGACCCCATCAGGAAATTTAACATAATCATCAACGAGTAGATGTGATAATTTTTCAAGCTTAACAATAGATGCAGGTAATTCCCTCACATGATTGAATCTTAGGTTAAGTATTTCTAAGCACCCTAAACTCCCGATTTGTTCTGGGAGCTCACTTATTTTTGTACCTTGGAGGTTCAGGTACCTAAGCTGCATCAACCTCACTATATTTTCAAGATGATGGTCTTCCAGTGGCATGTAGCTATCAAAGTGGAAAACACGCAGATGTCTGAACTCCCCCAAAGAAGGGATTTCCACAAAACCTTCAAACACATTAAGTGACCGGACATGGGACAACACCAGACCTGCTTTCGATATTGTTGAATTTTGTTCCTCGATTCCTTGTAGAGAGAATCGCCGGACGACTTTGCTTTGTGTCCTCACTGCCATAGTGGTAACACTTAATATAGTAACAAAGTTTTCTTCTATAGACTTGGATACGATGAAATCAAGAATTATGTCGTGAACACGACAACTCTTCACCTCGCCATATTCATTTGTCTCCCCGGGTTGAATCAAACCCCTATTGAGGAGCTCATTAAAACACCGTTCTCCTATCTCTTGCGCCGTATATCTTCCTTCTTTATGAATGAATTCTTCACCTATCCACCTCATTATCAAACTTTGCATCTCAATAAAAGAATCTTCCGGAAATATACTGAAATATAAGAGACATGTCTTTAGATAAGGAGGCAGATCAAAGTAACTAAGAGACAGTATCTTCATCATTACTTCAACGCTAGGATTTCTTTCAAGTGCACACCCAATTGAATCTTTCACTTGCTTCCATACATCCTCTGTTCTCTCTCTATTAGCCAACAAACCAGATATAGCAATGATTGCCAGAGGTAATCCATCACATTTTTTCAAAATTTCATCAGAAACTTTTTCGAGGTGTAAAGGGAGATCTTCTTTAGAGTTGAACAGCCTTCCATGAAATAGTTCTTTTGAATGCACCGGGTTAAGGGGCCTTATACTATAAATGTGCCCACTAAATGATGAATGACATGATTTGGCAACATCATGTATACGAGTAGTGGTGATTACGATACTGCCAGAACTTGTCATGGGGAATGTGCGCTTAATAACATCCCATGTATGCATGTCCCATATATCATCAACGACAACAAAATACCTGCATAGGGATTCACTTGTGATAAAGATGTGGTTTTAATAGAAAGAGTGCACAACAATATACACAAAAAAATTAAATAATTTTTTCACAATGACAACCTATAAAAATACTTATGTGTAAGCAAGCTGACATAAGTGTTTAAATCAGGTTTCAAAATCACGTCAAGGTGTCCGATTAAGCATGTCTGGGTGCTAGGAAACACCCAATCGTTTGGCGCGTAATCATGCTGGGCGTGCACTCTAGTGAAATAGGTACTAGGTAGAGTAAAAACTAGAAAGTTTTGCCAAGTACATGTTTGAACCTCGGTTGTAATCACCGTATGTGTACATCGACCGTGTTAATTAGTTTTCCAGATTATGGAGAACTGGGTGATAAGAAATAGTTATACAAGAGGCATGACCAGGGAGAAGATGAAGAATATTTGAGAAAAAAAATCAAGAGTGATCATTAATGTTGACAAGCATGCAACATTTCGAAAAAGGATGGATCAAAACATTATAATGAATAATCATGGGTCCTTAACATGTATAGAACGGATGTCGATTAGGATCTGGTGGTCATCTAACTGGCGATGTAAAATGAAGAAGAGGTAGTACATTGTACTTATAGATAGGGAAGAGTTCATTTCCCCTCTACACATCAACATCCCCCCTGGTTTGGATGGATGGTGATGCAGACAATCGTGCAAAGTCGACAACAACAATTGAGACCTTAAGATCTCATGGCAGCTAGACTCTACACATCAACACCGCAGCACCAGGTGGGGGATATGAGAGCGATGGGCAAAATAGAGCACATCCATATGGATGTACAGATGAGATGGTGTGGAAGATGGAATAGAGAATAGAAGGTGGAGGGAGAAGATGGTGACATATGTATAAGCATGTGTGTGAAAGGGTGTATGAAACTGTTACCAAAAGCACTGCCCAAAACAGATCATGTGGTACAGCACACCCAAAAACTAATTTAGGGGAATCATGGTACAACACTCCCAAAATTTCATTTAGGGCATCATGTTAAATTGGGAGCCAGAAAAATTAGGAAGAAAAGTGAGCCAAGTCTCAAGTCGATTGTATTGGGAGGAAAATGAACTTTTCCACATATCAAAATACAAAGGAAGTGTTTGCAATAGAGGCTAATCGATCTACTCCTTTATGTCAGATATTCAATGGAGTAGCTCGGGTCAAAGAAGTGGAGGGAGTAGCAAAATGTCTTAAAGATGCTACAATATCAAAAGAAAAGAGAAAAAAAGATAAATCGTGAACCTATGAGAAACTTCTCAGGATAGGTCTTTTTGATACTCGCTCCATTTCATTTCAATTGACCAACCTGCACTACTAACATTTAAGCATTACACTTTGCAACAATAGATGAGAAAATGTGAACACAAAATAACATGAAATTGTTCGTTTTTCACAAATTTATGGAAAAACATTCATGTGAAATGTCCAAATAACTTCCTTAATTATATATGCATTCAAGGAGAACAAATAGACATGGAATGGAAACTGTACCTTTTGTTTGCTAGGAAATTTGTGATTTTGATGATGAGTTGTTGTATATTCCCTGCTTCAGTGGTAGCATAATCTTGACCACTGACTTCGCTAAGAATAATTCTCAGGATATTAATCATGTCTGGATTTCGTGACACAGACAGGAAGGCTTGGCATTCGAATTTTTCTTTGAGGTCTTGATAGACTTGGTTTGCAAGAGTTGTCTTACCCATTCCACCAGCTCCTACGATGGAGACCAGTTTAGGTTGCTCATTTGTTGATTCACCTTCGGTCAGCAGTTTGATTATCTCAGCCTTTGGTTCATCAATTCCCACAAGTTTTGAGGCGTTCTCAAGCATAGAAAGAGCTCGAAGGTCAACAGTTGCATTCCTGGTGTTGGAGATAGCCACACCAGTCATATACCTAGAATTTCTTTCACCCACCTCAGTGATCTGTTTCTTAAGATTTTGGATCTCCTTGCCAATCCGATGACGAGCCTTCATCTTTCCCAACTTTCCCAGTGAGCTCTTGATCTTCCCAATGAAGCCATCTGGCTTTTCATCTTTGTCATAGATACTTTGCATGAAGTCATCAATGGCATCCTCCATGTCATAAGACAACTCCCGCACCTCATTCATCCAGACTTTATCCTGTACATTGGGATTTTCCACCTCGGACATCTTGAGGAGAAAAGCCTCCATGGCGGCAAGCTCGTGAGTGAGGGACTTGATCTCCTTATGCACACCCTTGAAACGTTTGTACTCGTCGCCGAGCAAGGCTGCCAGCTTCCCCAAGACAGGTTTGAGGACCCCCGTCGCCGCACTCACTAGAGCCGCCTCCATAGGTTGTGGGACGTGTCAGCTCCGTGAATTTTTGTGCAGATGGAGCATGGATCATTGACGGCACTGACAATTAAAAATAGTAGTATTGCAAGGATTATTCCAACTAAGCCTAAATTAAGCGCCCTTCATCGAAAAAAACAAAGCCTAAATTCAGCAAGCAACAGCTCCATGGACAACTGGAGAAAGCATGATGGATGGGTTCGTAGTTACCAGAGTCTTGCCATCGACCAGACTCCGGCGACCGCGCGAGGCACCGAGCAAGAATAAAGGAGTGGATTGAAGTATCTGTGTGTGTGTGTGTGTGTGTGTTTTTACACAGCAGAGCGTGTACCTAACACTGCACTTGACTTGACTTGAATTGTCGTCCTGACGACACGTGAGTTGTGGCTGGAAATCCTTTGGAGTTTGGAGTGCCAATCATGTGGACGTTATTTTTTGAGAGGGAGAAATCATGTGGAGGTTGTTTAGCCTCTATCTTCGTTGTGCAGAAAATGAGTGGAAGGCATGGGCCAAGAAAGAATGGAGAAAATTCTCAAGATTGTAGCTGTCACCGGCCGGCCGTCACCGGCCGTCTCTGTCATCTGCCATGGAATCACCTCCAGCCGCCCCCTTCTGCCGCGAGCCACCAGTTCCCGCTGCCGTCAGCCAGTTCGCGCCGCGTCCGCCGGTTCCTGCCGCCAGCCGCCTCTTGATCGGGAGGTGTCCACGCGTTGGGCACCTTCTGCTCCTCTTGTTCACTGATACATCTCTAACATATCTATAATTTTTTATTATTTCATGCTATTATAGTATCAATTTGAGATGTTTTATGTGCAATTATATATTATTTTTTGGGAGTGCCGGTCGAGCGCTCCCTAACGGTGAACATTGGGTCATTTTTTCTCTCCGCGTCGTGGATCTGAACCCTGAAAGAGAATGGATTCACGTAGGTCAGCCAAACCATTCCTGTACAGAACGAGCTAGGGATCGACCCCATGCTAGCGCAGGCCAATGCATGGCGGCGGCGGCCACGGCACGGCCGCACAAGAGGAGATTGAAGCACCCGCATTGGGGAAGGGAAGTACCTAGAGGGAGTAGCCCTGGCAACTCGCCCGACGAGGAGAGGAACGTCGGCGACACGTCAGCAGCTCAGAGTTGGCTCGCTCTGTTCGCTGTATGGATCGAGCGCTCTGGCGGTGAACAGTGGAATTTTATTCCCTTCTCCACACCATCAATCTGAACCCGAGAATGCATTGACGGAAGTGCCAAACCATTGCTGCACCGAACGAGCTATGGATCGACCCCGTGCAGGAGTAGATCAATGCGTGCCGGCAGCGGCATAGGAGGAGATTGAAGCACGTCGGGGAGGGGACGGGGTTGTACCTAGTGGGATCGATCTCGGCCGTGCAGGATGGCCCGCGACGGAGTCGCCCGGCGAGGAGAGGAAAGCCGGGAAGCTCGGACGGTGACAACACGTGCACCGGGAGGTGAGGGCGAGCAGTGGAGTGGCGAGTGGGAAGGGGATGGATGTGGTTCTGGTTGTCGCCTCGGTCAACAAAGAAACAGAGGTCGTCGCCGGGTCGTCGTCGTCCTATGTTTGTCTCTCTGTTCTGTGGGCCCAACTCCACGTGACCTAGTAGGAGATTTGTGTCCTGTGTGCTCTCTCGCGGAACACACAAAATTCACATTATTTAAAAAAATGGCATTCTTTTGAATTTACTGCCTACCCAGGAGCATGTGAGAGCAACTACAACTGGATGATTCAAACGGACGTCAACTTTATCCGCTTTTCGTCCGTTTTGGCCAGGGGACAGAAGGCGACGCTGTTGGACTGCAGGGCGGCGTGTGGGGACTTTGATTTGGCCATGAGCTCCCACGAGTTGCCATGCATGTGTGTGTGCTCCCGTGTTTCTTTTGTTGATGTGCATGCGTGCAGGCCGGTGAACAAAGCAGCAAGTAGCAGTCAAACGCATCAAGCAACAAAGCAAGCTGCAGCCGGAATCCCAGAGCACGCACGTGGCCGCGGCCCGGCGCCAGCACCAACCAAGGCGCAGACAGGGCCGGCCCTGTGTTTCGGGAGGCCCTTAGGCAAACTCGATGGCATGAGCCCTTATGTCCTAAGATCATATATATGTATGGGTGTGGGTGATACATAAACTTCATTAAACTTTCAACCATGCATCTTTAGTTTAAGATTTGACTATAATAATTGTTGGACAATGCCATATTACGACAGTTTAGTTCTAGTTCATGCACTCTGTTAAAGCAAGCGCCTCTACTCATTACAAATGGACATTAAATGAGCATGATAGAAACAGAGTAGAGTGAGTGTGCCTGTACTCTGTCGCTTTACCAGGTGTTGGTTTCTGTAACTGGAAAACAAATGAGCAGAGCCGGCGTGTGTCGTTGATTCAGTGAGAACAAGAGTGGGAATTCGTAGCCTGGAAAACTACCCTGTGTCTTTGTGTGTGCTGGTCTGCTCCTCCTCTCTTTTTTGTTTTGTACATTTGCTCGAGCAGCTTGCGTGCGTGTTTGCATCCACCGGGAACAAGGAGAGAGAGTGAGGCTCTTGCCAATAATAGAACCGAACACCCACACAGTGCAAACACACACGGTTCACACCAGAAGGCCCAAACAGAGAGAGTTGAAACAAGGGATATATAACAAGAAATGTACTGAACTTTGAACTTTGAAAGACTGTAAGCATATATAACAAGTGCTCCTTTAGGTGTTTAGTTCAGGAAACTATAACGAAGGAGGCACTGAGCTTCCAAATATCAGCTGCCTAGCTTGCCAAAGTGCATGCTTGCTGTCGACGCCTAATAAATATTGGTATCTCTAAGTGAACGCTGAAGCGTGCTTGCAGCAGTTATCTAGGGACACCGCCAGAACAAGAGACAACACACACATTTTCTGAATGACAACTTGGACGCTGTACTTGGATGCAGTATAGTGCTTGTAGCTATACTGAACCAGGTGGTGAAACTTTTGTACCAACGCCTTGCATTGCCACCGCACTACTTCATCACGTGCACAGATACTCTACTGTACCCAACAGCATCGATCAGCCACAGCACTCTAGTGTCCAATCTGCTAGTGATAATCTCGTCACCACTGCAAGTGATTGACATATGATCTGTAAAATCAAGATTTATTTGACAGCAATATATACATACCAGGCATATGTTAAGCTGTAAACAACTGTAAGCAGGGTTATATAACAGCCTCCGGATTGTTGAGAGAACTAATCAGAAGAGCTACAAATAATATTAAACCATCAACAAGGAAGATTGATTGTTGCAGAAAATGAAACTAGTCAAACAGTTAATGTCCGTATTAGGAGGATTCCACATGTTGTCAACTAATTGCTGGTCAAATGAAAAATATAGAAAGCATGGATGTCATACGTAATACAGTATCCAACAGAGAGAATACAGTGTATCATAACCGACATAGAAATCAAGCTAAACTCTCTTAAACTTTGAGAATCGGTGGGCAGGACGACGAGCAGCGTCAACTCTCCGTTCCTGGTTTCTTAGCTTGTTTAATCAAAGCTGGGGAGAAAGTAATTATATATGCCAATTCTTCTCAAAGTGTAGGCTAGGGTGGTTGGGATGTGTGCAGACTGCTCTCTCCATGGCACTCTTCACGGCATCAACCCTGAAATCGCTGCACCCTACTACACATTTGACAGTAACGAGGCAAGGGAGGTTCTCGATTCCAAAGTCCGGACTATCACCTTTAACTCTGCCCACAGAATTAAGCATGAGGTTTTCTAGCTTGGGCATGGATCCTCCCGCAAACATCAGATCTATCGGGTGAGAATGTGCATCATAAATAAAAATCGTCAAGAACTGGAACCCAACTTCACCACTGATTCTGAGCTTTTTGTTTGGCAAACTTTGTCCCAGCAGATGCATAATCAACAGATTGGGCTCTTGGAAGTCCTCCAAATGCATAAAGAGCAGACTGGGTAAGCCCCCAAGAATGCAGAGATCATCCTGCTTGACTGTCACCAATTGAATGTGTAGCTGTTGGAGGTTTATTAGGGAGCTCATCCATCTCTGAACTCGCGGGATGACTGAAGACTTGGTAATAAGTTTCTCGAGGGTGGGCAGACACAAAGGTTCCTGCAAGAGGCTGCTCCCTTTATAAATATGAAGGGAGCGGAGGTTCTGGGTGCCTAGCTTACACATGGAAGAGACCATAGCTTTGTTGCTTTTCTCCCCAACCACATATGTATCCTTAGTGTCATAATCAATTTTGATACTAAGATCAAGCTGCAGATTCCTCAAATTCTGGAGTTGGCCAAGGCCACACAGGAAGTCCAATGGCTGGATTGCAACCCTCACAATTTCCAATGTCTCCAGTGCTTGCATCTCCGCAATCCCATTAGGACATTTAGCATCATCTTAATGAATATTCCAAAGCGGATCTAACAAGTAGATGCATCAACTTTCTAAGATTAACAATAGATGCAGGTAATTCCTTTACAAAAGTCCCTCTTAGGTCCAGCACCTCTAAGCATCCTAAATGACCAATTTGTTCTGGGAGCTTACTTATTTTTGTACGTTGGAGGTTTAGGTACCTCAGCTGGAACAACCTCACTATAACTTCAAGATGATGATCCTCCAATGGTTGGAAGCTCAAGTCGAGAATACGCAAATGGCTGAACTCCTCCAACGAAGGGATTTCCACAAGACCTCTAACCAAAATAAGGGATCGGACATGGGACAACACCAGACCTGCTGTCAGTATTGTTGAATTTCCTTCTTCGACACCTTGTAGACAGAGTCGACGAACAACTTTGCTTTGGTTCTCATTTGTCAAAATGGGTACACCAAGTAAAGTAACGAAGTTCTCTTCTCTGGACTTGAATGTGATGAAATCAAGAATAGTGTCATGAACTCGACAACTCTTCACTATGCCATATAAATTTGTCTCTGCGGGTTGGATCAAACCCCTGTTGAGTAATTCATTAAAACACCTTTCTCCTAACTCATATGCCGTGTATCTGCCCT